GAAACACTACCAACAACCGTAGTTTCAAGTTTCGCATACTTATGGAAAATACGATACCTTTCAGATCATAGAAGAAGCAGATCTTGATGGTGACGAGCAGATATCGTATGCTGAATTCGAGCACGTTGTATCCCGATCACCAGATTTTATACGTACTTTTCGCATTCGGATTTGAAAAACTATGCGTTTCTTTGAATTTATATGTTACATCAATAAACCATAGCTATAAAGCGAAACATCACTGGCTGCAAACTATTTAGCGAGATACTAACGTCTTATATAATAAAATTAGACACTTGTCTTTGGATACGAATGCGAGTGAAAAATAAACTAGCATTCGTACCGGTAGCCTTTTCCCATGTAGTATTCAGAATTAGTACAACTGACTGTATGCTAACTCTAAAAGAGATTAACAAGGTCAAGCAACATATCGTAAACAACTTTTAAAAACTATACATCCCTTAAGGGATCATAATGACAGTTACAACAAACATAATTTCATTGCAACAACTAAGAACAGGTATTAAACTCAATCAAAGAACCAATTAAGAAAAGTCAAGACTTTTTTAGTAAGCGAAGCATATTTCTCGAAGGAACTTTATCTGGCACATCGCTTTCCTTTAACTTCGTATCAGACTGTGAAAGCACACTTAACAGGGCAAAAAACTTTAATTTCCCTCCGAATTTGCAGAACACATCGGCGCAAAAGTCATACTTCTAACAGATGCATGAAGAACTTTCTTCCTTCTCATTCAAATGACATTACTTACAAAAACATCAATTCATTACGAATAATCTTACCAATGGGTTCAAACTAAGAACTCACAGGTGGTAATTTCTTGCCTGATAGCTGTTTATAAATTGCCAAAGACTGGGAAATAAGAGACCCGGCATCTGCAAGATTTGATGGCACTACCACAGTATTTGTTTCCTTGGCAATATTCGATAAAGCTGCCACATACTTTTCAGCAACAATTAATGTGGCAGCATCAATACCATTGTTTTTAACCAATGTTTCAGAAACTTGCTTAATGCCTTCTGCCCGAGCTTTTGCTCGAAGAACTATCGCATCAGCCTATACAAAGAAACAATAAGCAAAAGACCGATAAACATAATACTATCTTACTGAACCTTCAAAAAAGAGTAATTTAAGTACAAAGGCATACCTCACCACGAGCTTCATTTATCTGCTTTTGCATTGCTGCTTCAGAAGCTAAAATGCGAGCTTTCTTCTCGCCCTCCGCTACGTTGATAGCTGCGTCCCTGCGTCCCTCAGACTCCAAAATTGCTGCCCTTTTCTTACGCTCCGCTTCAACTTGCATCTACATTTGGCAAATTAGATGAGCATTGGTATATCTCAATAATAAAGCAAGAGTTTTATTACAAGAGAAATAAGTGACAAAAGAATCAAATCTAGGAATGGTCGTATATTATGCATTCACTCTCTTTCGTTACTACCTCTTATTAAGAATGCAAACCTGCATAGCTTCCTGAATTTTGATAGGCATTGTCATATCCCCTAAAAACTTACTGGCAGTGAGTAATCCTTCGCAGGCAAAGAAAGATTTTACCTCAACCAAGAAAATAAAAAGAAGGAGCTAATACATAAATTTAGGGGTCCAACTAGCAAACAATAATAAATTATAATTTCATACAAAATCCTTCCACAACGGTTAAGATGAAGTCAGCAGTGCAACTTACTGATTTCGTAACGCATGCACTGTAAACCCCAAGGGTCAGCTGCTTTATTAATTGCTTCTGCAAAAATTCAAAATTTAGAGTTAAATTAATCATTTTGACAAAATCCTAAATCATCTTATGAATTAAAGAGCTTTAGGAGGAGTCAGTCAGGACAGAGTCTGAGTACCCAATAAAGAAATACTATGTTATCAATAATAAAACAGTTCCTAACAGAAACTTCGAAGAAAACATCAAAGTAAAGAAAAGAACCTAAGCCTATTAAATATTTGAAATAGTACAGAAAAAAGGAAAACATTAAAATGCAGCAAGCGATACGATGACAAAAAAGGGAACAAACCAACTATAGAAACATTAAGCTGCTCTCTTTCTTTAAAAACCGTATCCAAATTTATTTTTCCAACTTCAGACCTCATTGTGGTTTGTGCTAACTGGGTTATTGCAAATTCCGGGTCGTCGACACCGTACGAAGCCTAAAAATTTTTGTTAAAAAAAGTTTAAATAAAAAAAAATTAAAAAAAAAGTTAACGGCTAATATAAAAATCAACCAAATGACTTCTTTTACAAAAAATTTAGTGCAGAAGATTTTGTGTCGAAGCAGTATCGTCTTTGTAAATAAACATGGGAAAGCAACACAAAAACACATTTCCATTTCTTTTCAAAATCATAATTCATAATTTCTATCGGAACCTTATAGGGATCAACAACTCGTAAATATAAAACTCCATCCAATTGCAGTTGCACATTATCTATAGTAATTGCACCCTGCTGAGGAATCTCGATAGCTATTTCTTTCAAGCTCTGAACGTATTTTATCGTATCAATAAAAGGAATCAAGACGTTCAAGCCCTGAAAACTAAAGAAACAGACTCAGAAGCCAATTGTGGTTTAGAAACAGCTATCTAACATATGTAACTGAGGGAAAGACCACTACCAAATGTTTAAATACCATGGTTGTTAAATCATTCTGATTCAAAAATCAAAATCCGAATTATTCCATGGTTGAATCAGTTGTTTCTACTAATACGAAAATCTACCGGTTGCAGAATTTTATAAAATTTCCCCATCCTTTCCACAACCCAGGCTTCCTGTTGGGGCACGAAATTTATTATTGTATTTGTTGCGTGTGCATTTCGGCAACTGTTCTTTCTGAAACTGGGAAGATAAAGCCATCAAACTGCCCTGCTGCCAATGTAAAACTAACTAGAAAGAAGTAAGCGGTATATCTAAATGTAGTCCATAAATTAAATTTAAAGATCTAGTTTTAGAATATGAGTTTTTACTGGAAAATCTATTCTTGCAAGTTGCTAGCAATGATACTTATATCACTAGATTTGAGTAGCATTATAAAACTCAATTAATTCTTCAAAAGTAATTATTTTCCTATAAGCTAGCCATTCTTTACAAAAACTGAACCTAGAGATCCGATAAATAAAATCAAATTTCAGACCAAACAAGAACCTGCTCAAGTAACTCCCCTCCAGCTTAAACGAAATTGTACCAGGAGAACATCCCTTTTCCCATCATAGACTAAGCTCTCTGAATAACAAACATTTTATGCTTCTCGAATTTAAAATTCTGGTTACGAACAATGACCTGACTATAATCCCAAAAATATTATTTTAAACAGTCTTTATCTCAAAGGAAAGCAAATTCCAAACAAATAGAATTTAAAGGAAATGCGTTTCCTCCTGCCATTTTACAGAAGAACCCCTGAACAAAACTATTCACCTGCTGCTCTCACAACTATCCAATTTTGTATTGGTTAAGACATTGCAGCTACTTCTTACTGTTTCACTAACTGTACTCATAATTGCATGAAGAAGCTACCTGTATTCTGGGACCGTAGGAAACCCAATAGTCACTGCACGATATGGCAATAGCCGCGTCGAATTCCTTAAGAATGTTAACCCGGAAAGTGCCATCCTGAATAAATTCATGACCAAATAAGATTAACTTGCAGAGGTACCGATTCTACAATCAAAAATAGCGAACAAAAAAATAAAAACAGATGAAATCTGACTATTGGGCAGTGAAAGATGTTCATATATTGCTCGTCATGGAAGTATTACTAACGTCATTGGAAGCACCGATCCCTTCCAAAACGTTACACTTTTAGGCACTAAGCATGAAAAATTTCTCCTTATTCACTAATTAAATTAAACTAAAGTAGCGAATTCGCAAAGAGCTGTGTAGGTAATACTGAGATTTCTGTTAAAAATAATGGAACGTTTGTTAGCCTCCAAAAAAATATTGTAAATTTTGACATTCCGATGAAGAAGCAGTTCTACGTCCGAGCAGGTGAGAATTTTTAAACTTGGTTTCAAAAATGGTAACCTGCCAAAACTAAACCAGTGAATTATTGCAGCATCATTGCGCGTACTCGAGTCGTTCGTCGCTCCTCAAAAGGATGTTTTCCGTTACGGCTGGTAGTCGATACACAATCGTCTACCTTCGTGGTTTAATTTAAATAATTAAGTTAGGTAATAGAAAGCAAATTTTTAAATGAATAATTAGTGAAAGCGATTACTTCATTCCTTTCAGATTTTATCTACAGATATTCTAACTTCCATTTCCTTTGGTATCTGTGAAAGAGTCTGTTAAAAAACTTTTAAGGGAATTTTGCTGACTGACAGAGTACAATGTTGTAGTACTCTGAAACCAACAGTTATGGCTGGTGCAAGTGTCCGCTACTGCTAAGGAGTACATCCTGTGCTAACCTCAAGTAAATGGTCTAATGGCTGTTTTAAAATGACGGAAACAAATAGTGTTGCGTACCGCAAGTTCCCTACTTTATACAGCGGGTAAATAATGTGCTTAGGGCCTTCACTGTTCATTAGATACTTATCTCTCCGCGTTAATTGACGTATCACTTACATTCGTAACATCTTTTAAAGAATAAATTTGTGATATAAAGTAAAAAATTAAATGACGAAATAAAAACTCACTAAACACCGGAGAAGCAACTGTTAAATTCACCAAGTCACTCTTTCATCCGTCAATTTTTAATGTTTTTAGATATTAACATTGGGCTATTCCGATTAAACTTACAACCTTTAACTACTTTATTCTCAGTAATTCTGAACGTATTTTTACAGTGCGCGCTTCAGCAGTTATTCTTAAAATGAACTTGAAGTAGTATTTCTCAACAGTACTAAGACCACCGATACAACATCGACTTGGTTATCGTAACATAACGTTGTTAGAGCTGGCGCCCGTAAAATAAGCCACTAGTGAGCAAAAGGTGGAAGACAACTTTAGAGCGGGAACGTTGTAAGCTGTGGGGTAGTATAGATTGTCCGTCTAGAACAAGTGCTGGATCAGTAAGATACTTTATCTTGATTACTTGTATTCTTACTTGTATTGTTAGCTGTTTCTCAGGTTTGGCGGCCGATTCTTTTCAAGTTCCGGAAAGCGAAGAGTACAGCTGAGGATTGTACACATTCATAAGTTTTCAACTAAGTCGTCCTAGTGAGCTTTTCAAAATGCGCGTTTTTGTTGACGCTTTTAGGCCGTATTTTTTACAAGACATAGGATAATAGATTAACGAGAAATGAATCTTTTCTTGCAGTATTTTGTTGGTAACTTGTATGTGAGGTAAAACCGCTTCTGGGATATGTCATTGTTAAAATTTTTAGTATCTTTTCCGTTTGAAGTAAAAATTATAGTAACGATAGGCTTAAATAGTTTTCGCGTCTGGAATTTGCTACTTCACGTACAACCGAAAAAACTACGAAATGCTAGGTTTTTTGAAACTTCGCTTTTTCTGGTTCCTGCTCCCCCTCCCCCCCCTCCCATCCCACTGTCGCACGATGTGCGAAAGAAACAAGATTTTGGGTGGACTAGATACGCTGAAAGTAAAATAAAAAGGAGTGCACGGCAAAATGATGAATAAAATAGTTATCACAAAAGGTAAGTCAACCCTTGTTGAAGGCTTTTTTAAGAAATAGAGTATAAAAGTTAAGTTCAGTAGCTAATGTCAACTTATTGTTTTCAATTGTTCTGCAGTGGTTGTGCCTTGTTAGGTTTTCCTTTTTTGTCTTTGTAGTTTGCTCGAAATTATTCATGTTGTTCTGAAGCAACAAATTGTAGTGTTTCGTTTCAAATTGCTTCGATTTTATAAATTCTACTTGTGAAATTTTTGCACATCTCCCCTTATAAGTTCTTCACACTTATTGGATTTTTCTTACACTATTACAATTTGGTGTCATAAATTTGTTTAGAAATTTTTGAGTAACAATTTTCCTTTGACTTCGAAAGCACAGTAATTCAATGAGTGAACAAGACTTTTCCGACACACACCCCCTCCCCCCTTATCTTACTCGGCCTAACAGTCTACCACAAACTGCAAACCATTTTTTATTGAAGCGGTCGCCTGTGTGCACCAGGTAATTTCTCTCGTAATGACGGACCGTTTTTCGTAGCAGTTTCTGTGTAAACTGCTTCAATAGTCGTGGCCCTCAAGGCGCTTTGTGAAAGGAAACTAGTAGGGATTCAAGCAGCTCTTGTCGCTGAAGCCTTCAATGCTACCTGCTTTTAAAAATTAAGTTCTGGGCTGTCTGAGTACTTATTGGTTTATCTTATTGGCAATAGCGAAAACTTTTCGTTTCACCGTTTTATTTCTAGTTTAAGCTCAACAAAAACAATTATCAACCGGTACTTGGATTACTTTAACGCAAAAAGAAGTTTCACCCAAGTATCGTAAAATCAGTAACAGTAAAAAGGGTTGTAACAAGTAAGGCTGATAAGCGACATGAAATTTTTGAACAAGACTAGGCATAACAACAGTGAATAAAAACTGTTATAGAAATCTGTTTTAAGATTAATTGAAATTTATCGTTTCACTATTTTTTGTTCTAGATTTGATAACATTCGTCTACTCCGTAAGCGTTACAGAAAACAAATTTTTTTGTAAGCTATAAATTTAAACAGAAGACAGCACTGAAGTTGAATGCAAATTGAAGAGGAAAGAAACAAATGCCTGCCATTAAAATACCCCTGAAAATTAGCTTCTTGAAGATTTTTTGCTAGAACAGATAATGTTACAAGAGAAAGCGCATAATACTTGTACTCGCTGTAACCGACAAAGGTCATGTATTTTCCACCACTTGCAATAAACGCCGTAGTCGACGCATCGAACAGTTGTTGAGTTACCTGTTGTCACAGGCACTGTCGGTACGTTTGTAAATGGCAACAGTGTGGGTGTGGTACCTGCTTCAGCTGTAGTTGTTAGTAACTGTGTTGTCGTTTTTACCGTCGTCGTAATGGTTTCTGGCAAAAGAGTTTCTACAGCAGTTACTGCGACAGGTGTAAGTTCTGTTGTACTCGACTCCGTGGTGAAAGTAGTTGCAGCCGTTGTTGTCATAACTTCTGCGACAGTTGTATTCATCTCCGACGTAGTGCTTGCAGGTTCAGTCGTTGTTGAGCTCGGTTCTGTTGTTGTTGTTGTACTCGACGCTGTTGTTGTTGTTGTTAAAGTTAACGCAGTTGTTGTGGTTGTTGGTGCCATTGTAGTAGTTGAGGTTGTCGTCGTGTAAGCGGTTGTTGTTGTTGCTGTTGTTGTGGTAGTTGTTGTTGGTGCTGTGGTTGTCGTTGACGTTGTTGTCGTCTGTGTAGTCGAAGTCGTTGTGGTCGTAGGCGTTGCAGTTGTTGTTGCCGTTGTTGTAGAAGTGGTTGTTGTGGTCGGTGAAGTAGTTGTAGTTGTAATAGAAGTAGTTGTGGTTGGAACTGTTGTAGTCGTTGTCGTCGTTGTCGGATTGGTGGTTGTGGTTGCAAAAGTGGTGCTTCGTGTTGTAAGTGGGGAGTCAGTGGTAGTTGTGGTTGTCTGGGCTTGGGATGTGATCTGTAAGTTTCTGGGTGATTTCCGTATTGATAAATCTCTTGTTGGGGATTTTTTCGTATGTCTTAGCGGTTTTTTTGTTTTGACTTCTACAGCTTTCGTTTACTTATTTACGTTACTGAATTTTTAATTTTTTTCAGAAAAGTGTTTGAAATTTGAGGTTCTTAAAGATTTCTCTTGAGATGGCGTACCTGTCCTGTGGTTGTAGTTCGGTAAATTACTTCGGTTGTAACTGGTTTATTTGAGCTTATTGCTTCTACAGGGATAATTGGTGTTCCAGCAGTTGATACTGCTTGTGTCGATGTAGTACTTGGTTCTTCAGTAGTCTTTGTTACCGTTTGTGTTGATAAAGTTTCCGCTCCTTTTGGTCTCAGTGTCGTTTGGCTAGTTTGTGTAGGGTAGGGACCCGTCGTCGTTCCTAGAGTATTTGGTTTGGAGAGTTTAACATTGATTCGAATTTTGCCAAAATTCATGACTTAATTTTTTTCTGCTACAAATCGCTGTCTTTTCATGATTTAGATTTTCACTGTTAGTATTGTAGCCATAATATGGCGAAAAAAAAGGACAACGTGCCTTATTTTTACGACAAATTAAATATATTTGGGTAAACGTCGAAAAAAATAAAGTAACTGGTTCTGTTTAGCAGCATTTCCCGTATTTTTGGCTGAGCGAATTGACCAATGAGTTCGTCAGCCACAACTTTTATTGCTTCCCAAGTCTCTTCAGCTGTTGGTTGAATTTCTCGTTCAGGTAGTAAGAATCCGTTGCCAAAAATTGTATTTTTAGGACGAAGTTCGACAAGATATGCGTAAGGAACGTGAAGACGACCTTTTGCCCAATCGTGTGAAGCTCCTGAGGCTTCATCTGAACGCGCTCTGTTGATTTATAAAAACAGTTGAAAATAGATTACAGCAGAAAATTACCGCTGTTTGCTTTATATTTGTGGAAATTTTTCGAAAATACTTAGGTCATGGTAGTACTGATATAACTACTTACACATCAGGTCCGCTCCTGTACCGATAGCGTATCGGGTTCCGTGCAACTTTTGCAAGGCCTTTGTTGCTCTCACCGCTAAGGACTTCTGAAGGAAAGAATTTTGTTGTACTTGGTGGACTATGACTTGGAGTAGATTAGGTGTTAGTCTTTTGCATTAAATTGAGTATGGAAGTGTAATAAACCTTACAAGAGCTGTTGAGTAGTCTTGAGGGTATGATCTTTTGCGATGTCCATATGGTATAAGCCACATTTGCGAATAAGAATGCAATGTAAGGAAAGCTTCCGGGGTATTTTTTTCTAAAAACTCTTTGACGGCTTTTGTTTCTGGTTCGCTGAACGCAGATGGTCCATGGTAAGTCTCGTGACAGGGGTCAGTGCTTGAGCCAGTAGCTGCAATGGAAACATATTTTGTTTATTTTTTCTTGAAGTTTATTGGGTTCTGATAGGAATGAGTAAACAATTCTTAATGTGATTTGCAAGGTCCCTAACGTAGAATCGTCAAAAATTGGGTGAAACTGGCATTTAGAAAACGATAAGGGAGCAAAAATTGGGGAATATGAAATGGTTTAGCGTACAGGCCCAAAACCAGTCGAAGTTCCTGTTCAAATCAACTCCAGCGCAACATACTGTATGGAAGTAGTTTCTTTTACATTGAGCTGGTCTCCTGTTTTTCCTCCACATTCTGTTCTAAAGTAAATAAACGTTCGATAAAAGACAAAGAGTTAGTTCGAGTGGAATGACTTAAAGAAGGAAGTTTCAAAGAAAATTACTTTTTAGACAAAAAATATTGGTGTTTGGATTGTTTTTAGCTGCAACAGGGACTTATGAAGTTTTGTGGTTCAATTTCAAATTATAAATTAACAATTTGGTGTCATAATTAGTTGGTTATCTAGGATTTTAATTACAAAATCCATGTTCTGTTGTTGGATGGGAAAATTCCATTTGCTTCTTCACTGCAAGGTAAATGTCAGCAAGTCGTTACTACCGAGGAATCAACCCCTAACTCTTCTTTTCAACATTCCAGCATTTCTCCCCTATTGTCTGCCTCGACGGAGTTCTTAACGAGTAGCTTTGGCACTGATGAAAGAAGCATGATGGGTGATCTTATTAAGCGTGAAAAATGTACAGTCAACTTTTGACTAACAACGTTTACTCACTAGTATGACTCGCCTAAGAAATCTTAGCGAGTTTGCTTCATAGTGAAACCAATAATTTGGCCAGGGGAAGAATCTTCTTTATTTTGGGGTTTCAGAAAAATCGGAAATAAAGTTTTTTGGTGAAGCTTGTATGCATTACGGAGAGGCTTGTGCGTATGCATTACAACGGAAACGAATTTCGAGTTTTGCACTTTGCTCCAACTCGTTTCTGCATCTAGTGAATATCAAATGAGCTTTGATGGGCTTTCTGAATCAAATGCGCTGGTTTTTAAGACCCACAAAGCTTTCATTTGCTCTAGAAGTTTTTGCATAGGGGTTTAATTCGTCTTTTGAATGATAAAGTAGTAGCCGACACGGAGTCATTAGGAGCCCAAAGGGTTGTCGAAGTGAGTAAAGGCAACAAGAGTAGAAGTAATAAAGATTGAAGATGTTTTTGAAATTTATTAGAAAGTTACTTTGCAGTAGTTATGTTTGGGCATTCTTTTGCTGTAGCGCACGTCAAAGAATAGCACCTACCTTTGTGTGTGTATATTCATATCCGTCTGGGTTCATAACTGGCAGAATGTACCAGTCTATGGAATCCATAATGTTTTGAACGACAGGATCACGAGAGTAACCTCGAGTAAGCTCATCAATAACAGATAGTACAACGGCTGGAGCTATCCACTCGCGAGCATGGATTCCGGCATCAATCCAAAAAGAAACGTTGGTTCCAAAACTTCTCTTCCCGGTCAACTGCAATAGAAAACATTTAGTTTTCTTACTTAGTTGCTGCTTTAGAATTTGAGTTTGTTTTCTAGTCTTTGATTTAGGAGTTTTTGAGGCTTTTCTGGAATTGTTAAGTTGTCGTCTGATAAACTTTTTAATTTTAAACAGCAATCCTTGGGGAGTAAAGCTGAAAACCGCGATTTTTTTGTAGTTTCCTGTAGAGAATTTTTTGAAATCATATTTCTCTTTCTGTTTATTCATCATTACTTTTTACTTAGTGACAGATCAAAGTGAACTTTTGTTTTTTTGTGCGAGGATTTCAATATTTCACCTGCTTTGAAAAATAAATTAATTAATCATATAAAAATTTTGGAACATATCATAAAGCATATTTAATAAATATTGCACGACTAGTTATCGATAATGAAGTGATCTGTTATTGTGATTTTCTTAAAAACTACAGAATAGGATGCGTCTTAGAAAGGTCTTTTTTTCAGAGCTGTACCCCTGCAACAGTTAAATATTGGGCCAATTTAGGATGGTGTAACTTGCGCCTCCCTCATAGCAGTTACAGCACCGAAATCTTACAATACTAGACTTTACATAGTGTTATATGGCTAGCTTCTTCTTCTACAATTTCGTTACTAGCGCCGATATTCGGGAAGCTACTTAACTTTTTTAACATCTTAAAACAGCTTTACGATCAAAATAACCATAGTTATAAAGTATAGACTGTCGAACAATTTTGTCCATTTCTTTTACTGAGATTAAGCAAACAAATATGACCAAAATTTTGAAATATTTTTACTTTTAATTGATAATTTACCTTGACTACTGTGATGGATCTGTTTTCGTGACTTTTGCCGATCTCAATCAGTGTAACTATTTCAGGATATTCGTCTCTAAGTTTTTTCAAATACTCTTCGATTTCTGAAAGGCGATTGTATTTGTCAAGTTGAAGTGAGCCATCACTAAACGATTCTCGCCTCGTGCCACTTCGTTCGCTTTCAATTGCCCTATAATGTACGCGAAATACGATGACAAACAAATGCAACAAAAGTTCGTCTTGGCTAAATTTTGGTGTTAAGCTATAGACAGTTTATAGCAAAGTATCTTCGGTAAAAAAGATGAAAACAGAGGTTTGGGTGTTACAGAAAAGTGACATGAAACAAAGAAACCTCGAAAAAAAGAAGGCCAAATAAATTAAGATGAATCTTGCAGATACTTTTATGGACATCTATCACTAATTTACAATTGTTTTAAAAGACCAAAGAAGGAAAAAAATCTGCTGCGTGATTATTATCGTTTTAAAGATAAAGTTAATTGATGAAGTCATTGATAGTGATATAACCTGTTTTAGAAGCAAAAAAAAAAAATGACTAGAAGGACCTAAATGCTGAGATATTAAATTCTGTAAAGAGGAGTAGTTAGCTAGGAACTTAAGTTTACATCAGATTTTACTTAACAAATGAGAAGCTGTCATTGAAAGAAAAAAAAAAACAGAGAAGAAAGTTGAATATAAGTTTGCCAGTTTTCAGAGAAAACTATCACCTTGTTCTAATTCAAATTAGGTCATAAGCAATAAAATTTTTGTGTTTTTTTGGATCACGGAATATGAACTGGACAATGTGGGAGAAAACGTAGACAGAAAGCGATGTTGCTAAATATTCTCAAATTTGATACGATAAAAAAATTTTTTTGATATATGAGCAATTTTTTGTAAAAGTATGTGTAAAGAGTGAAATGACAATGATTATGAGTCCATGCACTCAAACGACTATTGTATTTGGTTACTTCGACTGATCAGCAAATTAAAGTTTAGGGTAGGCAATTGACTGCTGAAAAAGGTGATGAGTTTTTGATATTTGTTTAATTTTTGCGTTTTTGGCGTCCATCTGTACACCCTCACTGAACTTCTTACTGCAACATTGTCGAAAACCAGTTAAACAAAGAATTTACTCTGACAGTTCGGAAAATAAACAAATTTAAGTTTTTTTTGCTATCGCCCTGCTATGTGACTAAAAAGTAGAAAGTGACTGTGGAAGTTACTTTTTGACGAGTCAAGTTCATTTGAATAGCCATAAAAAAGACAAAATTTGTTTCTGTTCGACAAAAGACTTTTGGTTTTTATCTATGAAAATAATATAGAAGATAAAATAAGGACAAGAAAAGAAAAGTACGCGGTAATAAAATTTTCTTTGATTTCAGTGAGATCTTTTTCAAAATTTGCAAAAACAAGTGCCATCAGTGCAAAAATAAAATAGGTGAGAAAACAACGTGAATAACAAATAATTAAAGGCTTACTGCTGCAGATCACTGATGGCTACGATGAATTCGATTTTTTTGGATTCGAGGTCATGCACAAAGATCTGTGCATCCTCTGGCGAAACTGTGACGTCAACCAGACCGCCGATATGCGACGGAGGTTGCCAGAAATCAAGCTCATACGGTGAGCTGTTCTGATACAGATGTTTCAAGTAGGCCAAAGTTTCCTTGTTTCTTGGATTTATTCGGATCAGTTTAAAGCTGAATTGAAATTAACGCTTAGAACAAAATATCTTGTCAAAACTCATTATAAATGCTTTATTTTTTCATGAAAGAAAAGGAGAACAGATAAATTTAAAAGAATTAAACGATAAAGAAAGGAGAAAAAAAACAAATTTTGTGTTCAATTTAAAAAAAGATAGTAAGTGCTTTGTTGTATGTTCTGTTTTGTTCTGCTCCATTTTTAAAAAAACTCTCTAGCTTTTCAATAGTACTTTTAGTGATAACAATTCAAAAAAAAATGTTTTGTTCAGGTTATTTACTTAATTCAACATTTCCTATGATATTCTGATAGAAAAGCAAAAATTTTTTACAGTGAGAAAAAAAAACAATTTTTTGGTTAATGTTAACTGCAGAGAAGGAAGAAAAATTGCAAATATTTTCATAGAAAAAGAAAAAAAACCTAGGTTGGTAGCTAAATAACTGAACTTTAACAAACTAAGTACGGCAGTTATGAATAAACTGCCAGATACTGTAACTAAGTGAAAATGTTTGTATAAAGCTGAGGTATCCAGAGCAGTTACTTTCGAAAGTCGCGTTTTCGATCATCTTGATAGGACAGGTTACTATTAACATTGTAAGGTTGGTTGGCTGAAACGGGATTAACGGCGATCAAGGCATCGAAGGCAAGAATTAGCAACGGGAAGAGCATAATTGCTGAGTGAATGCGATTGCTTGGGAACATAGCCGAGTATTTGTAGTGACGAGTGACACTTTAAGGTATGTGGGAAGTGGACACACTTCTTTCTGGTCACTTATTGGTCACTCGCTGGTCACTCACTCATTACTAAGCATCAAAAAAAAGGAAAAAAAAAGAGCAAAAAGGGGAGAAAAACTCCCTATTATTTTAGTTACCTTAGGTCTGTTCAATCGTGAACTAAATAACATTGTATTTTACATCTTTGTTCTCTGCTTACTTTTGGAATAGACGGCAGAAACGGCGACGTTGTTCGCTAAGCCAAAGAAGGTGAACGTGACTTAAACATTATTCAGCCTTATACGGGTTTAGCAAAACATTTGAGTAAAAATAATCCAATCTTTCGCGGCACCTATTTACACACTGGTGTTTTGTAAGCGTATAAAATTCAAAACTTCTCAATTTCTTGATCTGAATTTATTGGCTATTCTTGTCAGACTTGTTACATAAGTTAGAATTCAATAACTAAACAGTGAAAAGATCAGAAATATTTTGCAATATCTGAATGAACTGTTTTCAGCTAGCAATTGTTTCTTGTCGTACAAGAGAGAAAAGATTTATAGTTATAAAATTGTCAGGTAACAGTAATTAAGACATATTTATATATATGTTTTTGTGCTAACTATAAACAACAAGCAATAAAATAGTCTGAAATTTAATTGTTTACAGTAATATCAGTGATCATCTTTTGCACAAAAATTTTTTGCAGTTAAAATTGAAAAAAGTTTTCAGTATATTTCTTCTTAATTTTTGTTTCTTAAATTTTTTTTTTTTTTTAAAATTTTTTCACATTAAATTTATGAGAGAACTATTATTTTTTGTTAATATTTATCACAAATTGTCTGCAGTTATTTGGCACAAATGATAATGAGTTAATACTTTAGATTTGTTGAAAATAAAAAAAAATAATAATAAGTACATTAATTGTGTGTGTAATGTATTGACCAAACTGACGACTATCTCATTTACAAATCTGAACATTTTTAAAACTCTTCAACACTTTTTTGTTTGACAACTCTCTTTTTTTTGAATGCTATTTACAGAGGAAAAAAACTTTTTTTTTTTCTTAAACTAAATGTATTCAGTTTTTTTCAATGTTTTTTTTTGTCTTTGTACTTAACTACTAATATAAACAAAGATTTTGATCAGCACACTATGTTAAATAATGATAGTTGCCAAATATCGGTAGTTTGGTGTGCACCGTATTACAATCGATCTTAGTTTACTTGTCCTTTTCTTTCCCTTTTGACATTATCGTCATTTTTACTCTGTATTTGTCACATTTTGAGCTTTCAATCATAGTTGGATAAACAAAAAAAAAGAATATTTAGGTTCCAGAAATATGCTAAATGTGTCAGGGGTCTACTGTTTCTTGAAGTTTGTTCAACAAGACAATAGAAGAGAAAAAAAAGATGATGTAAAGAAAAAAGGTTGAAGTCACGGTCAACTGACGACAGTTACAGGTGGTGCTAGAAGAAAAGATAAATTTCAATAAGTAGCATTAATTTTTGTAAAAAGAAAAATTATAATTTGGCAGATTATTCTTTGATGAAAAAATATTTCTTTTTTAGCAGAATTATTTGTTGTAAAGTAATCTTTTTTTTTTCAATTATTAAGTTTATCAGTACTTTTTTTTCAGACTTTCTTAAACTGTCTATTTCATAGCGCTAAGCTGTTCCTTGTTTAATCATCTTTGCTTTTTTCTGCACTGTTCATAAAGGAGCAACATTATAAAAAAAAA